CCAGCTCTACACCTTGTTATCATTGAGTATTGGAGTTGGGCTGTCATGTTGAAGTTGTACAGGACATTGGTGAGGCCGCTTTTGGAGTACATTGTACAGTTCTGGTTGCCCTGCTATCGGAAGGACATTATTAAATTGGAGAGGATTTAGAAAAGGTTTATCGGGATGTTGCTGGGACTGGAGGGTTTGAGTTATAAAAATAGGCTGGGACTTTTTTTTTTAAACTGGAATGCAGGAGGTTGAGCAGTGAACTTGTAGAAGTTTATAAAATCATGAGGGGTATAGATAAGGTGAATGGCAAAGGTTTTTTTTCCTCGAGTGGGGAAATTCAAAACCAGGGGACATATTTGTAAGGTGAGAGGAGGAAGATTTAAAAGGGACCTGAGGGACAACTTTTTCGCTCAGCATTGTTTGTATGTGGAATGAACTGCCAGAGAAAGTGGTAGATTCAGGTATAGTCCCAACATTTAAAAAACATTTGGATAGGTACATGAATAGGAAAAGTTTAGAGGGATACGGGCCAAATGCAGGCAAGTGGGACTAGTTTAGTTCAGGAAACTTGGTCGGTGTGGATGAGTTGGACCAAAGGGTCTGTTTCTGTGCTGTGTGATTTGAAGGGGAGCTTGCAGGTGGTGGTGTTCCTGTGTGCCTGCTGCCTTTGTCATTCTAAATGTAAGTGCTTGTTTGTTTGGAAGGTCCTATCAAAGGAGCCTTGGTGAATTTCTGTACTGCATCTTGTAAATGGTGCACACTGCTGCTAGTGAGCGTCAGGGGTAGAGGGAGTGGATGCATGTGAATGTGATGCCAGTCAAGCAGGCTGCTTTGGCTTTGATGGTATCAAGCTGGTTGTGTATTGCTGGAGCTCATCTAGGCAAGTGGGGAATATTCCGTCACAGTCCTGACTGGTGCCTCGTAGATCGTGGACAAGCTTTGAGGAGTCAGGAGATAAGAATCAGTAAATAATGTACACACAATTCATTTTTCCCCTCCAATTTGTGACAATGTGTAAATTATGCTTTAATTCATTTCTTCCACTTATATGGCATATCTTTCTCTCTTTTTTTTTCTTTCCTTAGTATACAACAAGTTTATGGAGCACAACATCCCCCATTTGATCCCCGTCTACACAAAAAGTAGGTTTGCATTTGACTTTTTTGTTCTCATCTGGTTTCATAAAGCTGTTTTTGGTTTGAATGACCTTCATCTTGTTAATGTGACCAGAACTTTGTGAAGTGAAATAAGAATTGATTTATTGTAATTGTGTATCAGCCCTATGTAGATATAATTGTGGATGAGTGGAACAAGGATGATCTAATTGATTTGTTCTAGGCTCAAACCAGGGTCAGAAGCTGAACTATAATGAATTGGTGTTCCTTATTGTGAAATTTACTTTGAGAAGGCAGACCAAATATTATTGATTAACAACTTAAAAAGTAAGTAATTAAGCACTAGAACTTCTCCAGTATAAGATGAATGCATTTCATGGCATGATGATGCCTATTACCAATTTTTATTTGCAATTCTATGCAATATGTATTAAAAGAACTTATGGGCCAGATTTTCTCATCTTGGTTGGTGTGTTATCAAGTGAAATTCATGATGCCATGCCCAACATGGCTTGGATCGACAGTTCTCTCTCGATCTTCTGCTTTTCACCGCATTAGTTATGCATTTGGACAGTACAGTGCCCTTCTCGTAGAATTGCTTTTCAGGAGAGGTGGAAGTGCTCCCTCAATGGAGACCCTTCTCTCCGCTGGTGTTTTGCTTTAATCCCAGCTGCATCTACTGCAGACTCTGAGTTGACCCTTGCGCTGTGTTATTCAACAGTTATAACTGAGAACGTAGCCTAGAAAGGAAAAGTGGTGCCTAGCTTCACCAACAGGAGCCTGCAGGTGTTGGTGGATGGGGTGGTGGTGAAGGGGACTTTGACTCTGTCTGCCAAGGGGAGCCACGCCACAGGCGCAGATGGTCCAAGTCATTGCCATGCTGCAGGTAAAAAGGAGCACACTGCAGTGCAGGAAGGACGACATTGGTCTTCTGTGCTTTGCAGGGATAAATGCCGTCATCTTGGAGATAACCACCTCACTGGTCTCATACAGTGACAAGTTTGCCCTCTTGACTGTTTGGATGTCCACCTCACGACAAGCTCTGTGAAAACACCCTACCCTGGAGCTCTCCATCCCCTCTTAAGAGATCCTCCCCTTCCTTTTTGGTAAACGGCCCTTTCACTTTAATTATTCCCTGAGGATCCTGGTCCAATGAATCCCATTCCCAGACTTGAGTTAGTTACTTGCTTTCTCCAGAACTCCGTGGACTTCCTCCTGGCCATTATGGGTTGAACCTCTAGGACTGACTTGGCTGGTCATCATTTGAGGTCTGAGCCAAATGTTGTCAGGGAAGTCTCCACAGCACCCTGACTGATACACATGTAATCCCTGAACTGGTTGCACTTGATTGCATGGACACCAGTCCTTGAACCTGCAGGGCTAAGTGCCTCACTTACTGTTGTCAGTACTCTCGACCAGAATCTGCTGAACCTGTGGAGTGACTGTGGCAGCATTGCCTGGGTGGCTGTCATCCACAAAAAACCCAATGAAGGCTCTTACTCCTTTGACTTTAAGACATTTTGTTGAAGCACATAGTGTTTTTGCTGGGCAGCTGTTGGCACATGCTGTAGATATGACATTGACATAGTTTGGCTCTGTACAGTGACCTAAAGATTTCCCTGACTGTTCGTTGCTCAAGCTGCTGCCTCCTCCTCCTCTGTGCTAAAAAGCAATGCAAGCCACAGAGACTGGCAGTCTCTAACTTAGCAGTGAAGTGCCATTGCATAAATAAGCAATGAAAGCTACAGAGGCTGGCAACCTTCAAGCATTGCAAACTGAATGTTAAGAAACGAAGCTAAGAGCCATAAGATGAATTCTGGATGCATGAGATGGGTGTGTGGCCCTGTTTACGAAGTGACCTGGCAGCAGCAGGGAAATTGTAACAGTTCCTGAGTTCTAAAATAGTGTTGAAGGTCTGGATTGAGAGTTGGACCCAGAGCAGGTATGGTGGTACGTTGAGGCTGGCGTTCTGCTGCTGTTGATTTGCGTGGATGAAGAGTGGAGGAGGTTAGTGTGTATGAAGCATGCAGGGACATCATGGTACAGACAGTTGGATGAGGGATGGGGTGAGCAACTGACAAACTGCAACTATCAGGTACTTGCTGTGATTTAGACTTGGGAATTTGCAGTGTCTGGTTTCTCAAAGGAGAAGAGAATTGGAAATGGCATAGAGTGCGGCAAATTGGGCAAATAACGCAATGAAAATAAAGTAGTCAGTACTCAACAACAAGATTCTGAAGTTGCTGTTTAAAACTCCAGTGAAAATTGGGAGTTTATCAATGTCGAGATTCCATTTTTTTCCTACTTCTTGCATTTTTCCCAGCTTGTCAACTTCGCCTGTGCCACTTAAAGGAGTAAACAATTTTGTAATAATAGTTTAGAAAATAAATGGTCCTTTTAAGCTATTTTGGAAACTTAAAATTATATTAGGTATCTGTTTGGAGAATATATATTGGGTTAGAAATTGGTGCTAGAAATATGTATTGGATAGCCAATGTAAATGGTAGAATTTAACTTACTAAATCTGTCTCATTGTTGAGTATCTGTTGGTAGCTGTGGTGGGTGATAGTGCTTGAGTGCATTACAGAAATGACAACTATCGTGAAAGAAATATCACCCTGCTTTTCCTCACTTGCCTCTGAACCAAATTGCTAAGGTGGCAATATGTAGTATTCCATCTTGGCTTTGGTGTTTATAGCTAAAATACATGAAAGACCAACTGTATTGATGTTTTTGAATATGATGAGTGTTATTTTTTCTCTGCATGGTCTAAATCTTTCAACTTGCGTTTTGCAGAATTTTTTTTGATGTACTGTGAACAATTGTCAATTTTAAAATGGCAGGTGACCAATGTACATGCTTTGATATTTTGTTTGTTATTTCATTTTGGCCTAACCTTTTATTTCAATATGTAATTTTATCTAAAAATCATAAATCCTAAACATGTTTTATCTTTTGGCTGTATTTTCCGAACCTACAGGGGGTGGGGGGTGGGGGGGCGTGCGAGGTGGTCACATCGGAAAAATTCGTTGACATATTCCCAACCAGTACAGATCTTTCCTAGGACAGTCTGGGAAGTGGGGTTTGCTGCCCGTTCCACAAATGCAAGCAACTAATTTGCCTCTAGCTGGGAGCTTAACAATGCTGTGGGTTCCAGCCACTCCTCTGTTTTGCTGATCCATAGAATCCCTACAGTGTGGAAACACGCCCTTCGGCCCAACAAGTCCACACTGCCCTCGGATGTCCCACCCAGATCCATTTCCCTATAACCCACCTAATTTATACATCGCTGAAACCTATGGGCTATTTAGCATGGCCAATCCACCTAGCCTGCACATCTTTAAACAATGGGAGGAAACCCATGCAGACACGGGGTGAATATGCAAACTCCACACAGACAGGGACCTGAGGGTCGAATCAAACCTGCTAACCACTGAGCCACCCTGCCACCCCATATGGTTGAGTGATTCCTCAGCTATTTAGCGGCCTCCATGCAGCAGGCCAGGAAGCATCAGATCCAGATGTTCCAGGCTGTTAAAAGCTGCTTTCACGATAAATAGCAAATCAGTGCTTAACCTCCCCCACCCCACCCCCTAGCTGGAAAGTAGAGTTAAGTTCACAGTCAGATTGGTGGGGCAGGCTCAAGGGGCTGAATGGCGCTTCTGTTCCTATTTATTTTATGTTCTTAAAATCTAGCCCATAATGTTAAAAACTGTTATTTTGACATTTTGCTTCATCAGTTTGCAAGTTTAAATTATGGCATGTGCAAGTGAGAAAGCTTACCTAGTTTGAGGCTAAAAATAAATTCAGTGATGGTGAACTTCAGAATGCTAATTAACCAGAAAGTACATTAATTGATCAAATTCACTGGGGACAATTTGGGGGAAAAATAATATAAAGAATATTTTACAGAAGCTAGAAAGATTGAAGTTTTTGGGTTTGCAGCTTGATAAAGGAGGGATTAGGATAATTATTGCACTTGACCTTTTTGATTTTCTGTAGGAAATGTCTTCATCATTTTTATTAGTCTACTGGAGTGTCAGTGATTTTTAAATAAGTGATTTGGAATTGGCTAGCATAATAATGTCAACACCTGGCTTCAGATTCAGCCTGATCTGATGAATGAAGAAGTTCCCTTTGAAAGAAATTGGAGTTTTTAAATAGATACATCTCCACAATATAATCTGCCCCTAATTAACCATTCATTGACCCTCAATTGGCAACATAATTTAACGAGGACGTAAGGAAGTTATATCCAGATGCGAGAAAGTTGCACATGGAAAGGTACTTTCTGAAGTTGGCCATGAAGCCCACTGATAATGGGCTATAAAAAACTACTCCTTTATTACAGCAGTGCCATTACATGAAACAAAACTAATGAGGTTGGAAAAGGTGGCAGGAGGAATATCTTGGGTGGTTTCCAGGAATACTGTTGGATTTAATGATTTGAATGGTGACAGTTTTGTCGTGGCTCACATCAACTCTAACCTCCCAGCTTGCCTCGACCCCTTGCAATTTGCCAACAGGCATACGTCCACAGCAGACACCATTTCTGTAGTCCTACACTCATCCCTGGAACATCTGGATAAGAAAGATACCTATGTCAGGCTTCCACTTTATCAACTAGAGTTCCGCCATCAACAGTGTAATCCCAACAAAAATAATCTCCAAACTGCGTGACATAGGTCTCTGCTCCACACTCTGCAACTTGATCCTCAACTTCCCGACCCATAGACTGCAATCAGTGAAGATCGACAACAGCACCACTGTCATGATAATCCTCCACACCGGTGCCCTGCAAGGATGTGTACTCAGCCGCCTACTGTACTCCCTGTACACTCACGATTGTGTGACCATATTTCGTCTGAACTCCCATTTATACGTTCGTGACGACACCATTATAGTATGGATACTAAACAATGACTAGACAGAATACAGGAAGGAAACAGAATGCTTGGTGTCGTAGTTCAAAGATAATCTCTCCCTCAATGTCAAAAAAACTAGAGAGCCTATCATTGACTTCAGAA